AAAGTGCTTTGACTCCCAAGCCAATTATAAGGGATTTTCCCAGCATAAAATGAGTCCTTCAGATACCAAGGATGGATAATCTATAATTTAATATGGAAATTTAGACATAGAGTGTTACTAACCAGATAAATAGAGCTCAAATGAGACTATGGAAAAGATCAATGAACCCGCTCTAATTGCTGACCAAAAAGGAGAGAGCAAGGGAAAGTAATGAAGAGAACATTTCCTGTAGCCTTTTCTTTTGCTAAGTGTCTAAGAACATTTTGCAAATGTTATATAAGCAGGGGCTCCCATGGAACTCTGTATATAGAATTAGAGCAGCCCCATCCCAGAGTGACTCCATTTCCTACTACCTATACTTGTTCTGGTACCTAAGAGTTTTAAGGCCAGTGAAGCAACACTGGGTCCATGCAGAAGACCCCTTTACTGCAGGGAATGTCATCAATCACAACATGGTTTGAATCGCTTTTCAAGAATAATGTTAAATTCAAAGTGATCTCCGTTGCAAGGCACTAAGCAACTCAGTGAGATCCTGTCTCTAAAAAAATGCAAAATAGGGCTAAGGATGTGGCTCATTGGTTGAGTGTCACTGAGTTCAATCTCTGGTATCCAAAAAAAAAAAAAAAAAATGGGTGACCGCACCACCAATTACAAGGAAAGTAGTTAAGATGGCATTTAGATCTCTGGGCTTCTATGATTATGAGAAGGAAGAACGAAATCCTATTTGATCTAAAGCCTATTTAAATGGAGCATAAAGATTCAGTGAGCAATTAAGGATCGCGACTGTGCTTTAGCGCTTTGATGTGTCCATATACCTCACAGAAGAGATCTAAGAAAGACATGAGACACATAGAAAGCTCCAATGTAATTAACTAGCTAGAGACATCCATGGATGCAAACTGTGGCCAGAGAATAAAGCTGCTATAATCTAAGGGCTCAAAGCAGAGGTACAAGGGCTCACTGAACAAATGAAGAAGATACAGAAAGTTGAGAAGGGAGCTGCCAAAACTCAATATCATAGTGACAGCAGAGCAAAAAGGCAACGATCACTGCAGAAAATATAGCTAGGGAGAGAGGTTTTAGAAATACAGCCAAATGACGTGGAAAAGGAAGACTTTTTTAAAAAAACTAGAGGAAAAAAATGATAGTTATGAAAGACAGATAAAAGTGGTCCAAGAAATGCACTGTTGTCCTGAAACAGGACAAAAAGATTCAAATATAAAGTTATAGAATTTTTTTTCTCAAATAAAGTAAGGTGCAAATTCATAGGTTGTAAAAGTACACTGGGTATCATGGGAAAATTGATAGAGACTGATAAGTATCAAGACATATCAAAAAAGACATATCATAGTGTATCTAATAAACTTGATAATCAAAAAATACTTCTGAAATCTGTACCAAAAGAAAAATGTTGCCCTGTATCAGACAGGATGGGCCAGGTTATGTTGCAGTAACAAATATTCCTCCAAATTCAGTGGGTTAAAACAATAAAGGTTTATTTCTCATTCATGCTACACAACCAGTGTGAGTAAGTTGCAAGAGGCTTTACTCCTTATGGTATCTCTGATAGGATGGTAGTTGGAGGAAAAAGAACTCTGGAGAATCTCATCCCACAATTAAAATCTCTAGCTTGGAAATGATATATATATAAGTGTTGTTCTCATGGCTTTCAGCAACCAGAAGAGGATTAGATAAAACAATCGTACCATGCAGGGATAAGCTAAAGAGCCAGAAATAGTTTCAAATGGCATTAATAACTACAACATACATAAAAGGAAAAAAAGAATTAGACCAACTTAAAAATTTTCCCTAAATAAATACTCACTGCAAAAGAGAATAGCATTTCATCTACAAAACTTGGTGGGGTGGAAATATTCCTCAAGAATTCTATACTGGGGGGAAAATTATGTGGGTTCTGAGGCCTTCAGCTTTGGACTTGCATTAAACCACACTACCAGCATCCCAGCATCTCAGCTTACAGATGGCCTCTTGTGGGATTTTTGAGTCTCCTTAATCATGTAAGTCAATTCCCCTAATAAATCCCTCTGAAATATATATAACTACCTATATTCTATTGGTTCTGTCTCTTTGGAGAAACTTAATACAGAAAAGAAGATGTAATATTGCCTCTGTGCATATCACATGATTCTCTGCAAGAAAATTCAAAAGAACATACAAAAAAGCTACTAGAACTAATAAGTGAGTTTAGCAAGATTGCAGGATACAAGCCAGAAAGAAACATCAAATTTTTGTATGCTAGCAGCTAATAAAAGATGATTTTAAAATACCATTAAAATTGCATCAATAAATGTGAAATACTTTAAGCATAAATATTATAAAATAGACTAAAATCTATATACTGAAAACTTTACAACACGGATGTTAAAAAAATAAAAGAAGACTAAATAAATGGAGAGCTACATCCATGAATATGTCAGTTCTCTTCAAAGTGATGTATGGATTTCAAATAAAAAAATCTCAGCAGGATTTCTGTAGAAATTGACAAGCTGATTCTAAAATTTATATGGAAATGCAAGGACTTAGGATAGTCAAAGCATTTTTACATAATAATAAAGTTAGAGGACAGAAACAAACTATAGATAGGGACTCATTTCCAACAGGCCTCTTAATTTCACATGAAACCTAGACCCCATTCCCCTGTATAAGCCTTCAGTTAGGGGGCTTGAGCAGGCTGCCCCTTCTTCTAATTCCTAAGCTGCAATTTCTAGGCAAAATCAGCCTCCCAACTCAATCATAAATCCTGCCTCCTTTGAGTCTCATGTCACCAGTTCCAGTATTCAATAAAATATTGGAATACTCTTTCTTTTGCCTTCAACCCTTACCATTTTTCCTGGGCAATTTGAACATCCACCAGGAAGAGCTCCTGAATAGGCTAGACTAGCCAACTAGGCTTGCCATCTTGACATGATCTTCTTGAGTATTCTTCACTTTATTCCATTTTGGCTGCACTACACCAAATGCTTTTCTCATCCAGGTACTAAAGTAGTGAATAAGGGTAAGTTTGCAAGTCACCAGCTCACCACAGGCCTGAGTCTGCATTCTTACAGATGGTATTATTTTTCCAACACCGTCACTACTTTTCAAGCTACAGTCACCTTCTCAGGGCCTGGAGGTTGATGAAGGTGTGTCCTGGGTCCCACAGAGTAAGCAAGGTACCAAGGAGAACACCATGGCTTTTATGGAATTAGCCAAACATACCCATAGCTGAAGAGTGGGAGGTGACTTACAGGTTTAACTGCATCCTACATGGCTACAGCTTGGTAAGTTTCCCTCCAACAGTCAGCATATTAAAGGCTCAGTCCCAAAGGGGTGCTATTTGGAAGCAATGGAGCCTATAGAGATAGAGTTTGGGAGGTCCCTAGGTCATTGGAAGTGTGCCCTCCAAGAGGATGTGAGAGCCCAGTCCTTTCCACTTTTTCTTTTGCTCCCTGGTTTCCTATGAAGTGAGTGGTTTTGCTCTGCCATGAGTTCCCACCATGATGTGCTGCCCAGCCACAGGCCCAGGGCAAAAGGAGCTACTCAATCATGGACTGGAACCTCCAAAACTAAGCCAAAATAAAACTTTTCTCTTATAAGTTGGTTATCTCAGGGATTCTATTATAGTGACATCAAGTTGATTAACACACAAAGTGGCCTAGAGAGTAGAAAGATTCCCTTGGAGATTTATTAGCTCTTCCAGGAAAAAATGGGTAGTTGCATTATAATTACCTATTATTTTGTTATATATTTTTTTAAATATGAAAAGAAAAGTTACCCAGTTGCCGAGGTAACTTGGGAGTTGCCAGAGGGAGATCTGAGCAATGACTGCTTTTGTCCCTTTAAGAAGGGCTCTGAAGGGCTGAGCAGGTCCCAGATGTAGTGAGGCATCAACTGTGGTGGTATGTAATCTGGGACAGTAAGAAAAAGCCTAGAACCATAAGAGAGGGTGTCCTGCACTGTTTTGCTTCTGGCTGCCCCCAACCCTGCTGAATGATCACTCTTGTGATAATAATCAATAAAATCTATGCAATTTTATATTTTATCTTGTGGGATGCTGGGACCCAGAGCTTGGGTATTTCCATCCCAAGCAAGCCAGGTTTGCAGAACCAGGCAGACTCTTACCACATTGATTAGGTGCATCCTTTGCACATCTTTGCTTATTTGCCATCTACTGACCACCCATGGAAAACTATAATCACAGGTGTCAAATTCCAGAGGGCCGCATGTCCCCTCCTTCTTTCCAGATTTGATGTGGCGTTTCTTGAAGCCTCCATTCCCCTACATACTGTGTTTCCTGTACACATACTAGAGCTCACTATTTACTATAAATATAATCCTATTATATTTATAGTAAATAGTGTTCCTTTGAACATGTCATGTCTTTTGTTAAAAAAAAAAACTTTTAGCACAATTGCCTTCAATGTAAAGATTGGGCTCATTGTTCATATGTGTTTTTAAATAGCCAATTTTGGTTTTCAGAAATTTAAAAAATTGCTTGCAACAAAAATAAATAAATAAACAGAATAACATGAACAAATTTTCCATGTCATTTTTCTTAAGATCAGCTATTTTACAAGAAAACAGATTGCCATGAGAGATTAAACGATTTTTCTCCAAATGCCCTTTAAATAGCAAAATAAACACCCATGTGTTTTCTGATGATGTTATAGCAAAAATGTCAGAAAAGCAATAGAATACATCACATCATCATTTGTAAAAAGAAAAAGAAAAACTCTCTTAAATATCCACATCCCACTTTGCATATGTCAGTGGCAGGAAAATGGAAAGGTAAACATGGAAAACACTATCCAGAAAGCAACATCTTCCAAATGAACATCTATAATCCTTTAAAATGTTCCCCTGAAAGACATTGCCTCTGGCACTGAATCTACCTGGATGAATTATGGGCTGAAAGGAAACTGTATGCTAATAAATCTTCCCATAATGTCTGTAAAGCCCGGGGTAAAGAAACGCATGCACAAATGGCACCCAGCGGTCACCTTCAAGGTCAGCCTCACAGCGTTGCAGTTCTCCTGCAGTGGGTTCAGCTTCAGCGTCTCCCCGAGGTTGCTGCAGCCAGATGACTGGTGCTGCAGCTCACAGCAGACACACACCTCCACACTGTCAAACTTGATCTAGACGGAGGAACACAGACAGACCCCACCGTTACCTCTCCGTTAACATGGCATTGGGACCTCGAGGGCAGGCCCCAGAGACATGATTAAGGATGCGTGAAGATGGCTCAGTGCAAAGCATCCCATTTCAGTTAGCCTTAAGTAACAAATCAAACACAATTTCTATTGACCAAGGCCAGGAAGGACACCATCAGGAATTCCTTGAAATTCCTATTTTAACAGCAATGAGTAAAAAAAAGAAAAAGTATATTTGAAGAAAGCTTAGCTGTGCATTCCAGAAAATGGCAGGTGAATTATAGAAAAACGCTGAAAATCACTCAAACTGATTTGTGCAGGGAGATATGTTATAGCTCTGCACCTTGACTCATGCTTTTCTCATGGTCAGAAATTTCCTGTCTTATTTTGTGGTATCAAACTCCTACTCATCCATCAATGCCCAACTCCAGCTCTGTCTTTAAGGTCTTTTCTGGGTTTCCAGTCCTACCTCTACTCGACACTTATTTTATCCAGCTATACTTACATATCTTATCATCACCGTATTTGCAGTGTTGAATAAATTGTAGGTGTTCAATAAATGTCGAGTAAATAAAAACAGCTTGGAAAATTAAAAACCATGGATGGAAAGAACAACATTCCAAGCATTTCAATAAACAATGTTAGACCAAGAGATACAGGAGAATCTCAGTGACAGGGGAAAGAACAGAGTTACCCCATGCCTGGGAAGACAGGGGATTTTAAAAATATAAAAACCTAGAGGTGAAATGATTAAAAAGAAAAATCAATAAAATCTATGCAATTTTATTCAAAATAGCCCATAATAGGAAACAAATGATTTCCCTTAGACTAGGAGGTGCCCTACTTTTCAATAAATACTGTCTTTTACCAGCCAACTCAAAATGCTAATGCTATTCAGATAAATATTGATCAATTATAAGTGTAACAAATGTTTTTTCATTGCGTGAAGTGTTACAAAATATGATGCTGTGAAATCCTCATGCATCCATGTGTCTGCTACTTATAAACACTGGATGTGGGGTAATGCAGCGTTCTTAGAGCCAAAAAATGTGGAGGCTCTCATCCAAGGGGTCACTTCCCTCTGCAAGGCCTGCTCACTGCATCCATTGCTTTTGAGATAAGGTTCCTAGATTTTCCCTTTGCGTTCTGAATTCTCAACTGGGCTGGCTGCAACAACACCTACAAATAAGCCTCTTCATTGTGTTCCTGTGGGCTTTATCATTCTGGTCCTTATCTGTATTTGCCATTGCTTTTTAAAAGTGACTTTCCTTTTCAGATATCCATAATTATCACCACAATTTTGCTTCCTTTTGGGAGCTTTAGCTAACTCAATAAGATAAGGAAACATTATAAACTGTATAAATTATAAACTTGCTTGCATTCAAATGGCATGATTGAATGTCTAAAACAACCTAAGAGTCTATACTGAAAAACTGATGGGATTAATGAGAGTATTAGTTACACCAATTATAATAAATGCAATACTAGTAAAAATTAGTCAGAACAAATATCACAAAAAATTACATTCACAGTAAAAATAAATATAAATTAATAAATAAATATGAAAATTAAGTACTAGGTGAAGTTGTGTTTAAATGTTATTAAAGAGCAAGAACTCAGATATAATGAGTGTAGGTCACTCAATCTGGCCAACCACTAATAATGAGCCTCCTCCTGGGTTTAGGGAATCCCCCACCTTCTGTTTTCTGCCTTCTCCAGAAATGTCCTTCCAGCCTGCCTTATGAAACAAGGCTCCACCCATGGAACAGGACTTTATCAAACTTCAGACAGAGCTTTGGTCACAAGAACCAGGCACTGAGCAGACTCCATTCTGGCATAAGGGACAGCAGACACCTTCTATTGTCAGGGGGAAAGGGACTGAGGTTCAGGAGGCAGGGTTCAGAGCTCAGAGTCAACAAGGTCATCAACACTCTGCTGGAGAGGTCTTGGTCAGGTGGTGATGATGGGTATAGATACACAATTTGACATGACTATAGCCATCTTGGTTGTAACCACTATTTTGCTTGATATGTGACCTTGACATACATCCTGAAACCCACAGGACAAAGTCATTATAGGAAAAAGTCATTTAGACAGTTAATTGTGTGTGTTATATCAATCACTGATGCTGTGTGACTTATACCAACCACTGATGCTGGTACTGTTTCTTAACTGATGATAGACACTTTGAGAGAGGCCATGTGTGCTCCAGTTGGCTGTGTCCCGCCTTTGTCTGGCTTAGCTTATAAACCCCTTCTTCTTGCCTTGGAATACAGGGATCCACTAATCTCACTGCTGACCAAGACACACTTCTGTCTGAAAGTCTCCAATAAACTGTGCTTGTGAAGTCCTGGATCTGTTAGCCTCTTCCTTCAATCTTCTGGTACCTTCTCCTTTGGCAGCTGGTTCTCATATGCCGGCACTAGGTTTTACCAAAATAGTGGAGTCACCCTCAATGCAGTTCTTTGGTACAATTTTGATTTTCCTTCCTTTCCTGGCTACATCCAAACTTGGTTTCTGGTTGTCCTGGAGGCTCTGTGAGCCACTGCAAGTTCTATGATAATTCCTTCTAGGGGAAAAACAGCTGCAGTTGGCCCCTTCACAACTGAGAACCCTGACTGAAACAGCCAGCCTGGATCAGGGCGGGCACATAGGCTGCTCCTGAATGGAAAGTTGCAGGATTCTAAAAATGTGATCCTTCCTAAGGATTCATGTGCAGGCATTCCAAATAAGAATCAGTGACTAGAACAGGGAAAAATATTTGAAAGTCCTGTAGACATAATAACATCTGTTCAAGAATTACCCAGAAAATCCTGAAAAGGGGTAACAATAGGAGGGATGGATATTAAAGGTGTTATCAAGATGCTATATTCAAAACACTAAGGCAATGGCTTCAAAACAGAGATCAGTGAGATAATTTCAGAAATAGAATTATCTACAGGAATATAATATATGAAAAAATGGCATTTCGATTCAGTAGGAAAATGATTGTTTGCTTAATAAAGGTGCTAGCATAATGAACTATTCATCCTTCGCCGTCTCATATAAAAAGTAAAATATCTTTTACTAAAGATCTAAGTCAAAACAATAAATATCCAGGACAATGTAAGAAGAATTGTTGCATTGACAAGGAATGTGGAGTCCCTTGAAAAGAAGAAGCAAATCTCCAAAGCTAAGAGGCCACAAAACAAAAGATAGACCATCTTTGGCTTTGGCTGTCTCTTTGCTGCTCTCAACTATATAAAAGCCCAACTTCCTTGATATGCAGTCAGCCCACTATATTTGTGGACTCTGCATCTGCAGATTCAACCAACCACTGGTTGAAAATGTGAGAAGAAAAAAATTACATCTGTACTAAATAAGACTCCCCCCTCCCTCATTATTCACTAAACAATTCATATAACAACTATTTACAACACATTTACATTGTGTTAAATATGGGACACAATCTAGAGATGACTTAAAGCATACAAAGATGTGCATAGTTTATATGCAAATTCCACACCATTTTATGTAAGGGACTTAGGCATGTAAGGATTTTAGTATATGTGTGCTTGTGGGGGTATCCTGGAATTAATCCCCAAAGGATAGTGAAGGACAAGTGTAGTTCATTCTCCCACACTTCATAAACATGCAAGGAATTATTATATAATCACACTTCTAGGCTTGGCATTGAGACTGAAGTAGCTAATGTAAATAACAAGGCAGTTTCCTCAGTGAAGGATCGTCCAGGGAAAAGGAAGGGAAATAGGTTTGGCTGGCAGGCATGCTTTATTACATAAAATAACCCTTCAGTAGCCCAAAGGAATAGATATCCAAATAAATCTTTTCCATCAGTTATTTCACTGAGTTTGTGATTAATTCTAAGAAAAATTCTGGAAACCTCTTGATTAGTTCCTTGACCTCGACATCTGGGCATGCAGGCAGCTGACAGATTTATTTCAAGAATGCCCCTTGGTGTTGGGGTCATTGGAAAAAACACAGCAGAGCTTTGCAAATGAAGCCACAGTAATTTTTCATGAATCTCTTTGGAGTATTTAAAAGCTATCCCGCCCCCTTATTTATGGCACATCAGCCTGTCTCATAGTAGAAAGGGCTTGTACAACAAAAAGACAGGGATGCAATGACCCTGCAATTCTCTTATAGAAGCACAAATGAGATAGAGAGGTGACCTTCAGATACTCCTAAAAGGACAGCAGCAGGGGACGGCTAAGCCTGGAGATGAAGGTGTTATCGAGTTCAAGGGAGGGAGAGCAGGACAGAGAGGGAGAGAGGCCACAGTGACTGTGGGCTGGGGCATGCACAGTGGACACACCAGGGTCCCCGACTTACAATGATTCAACTTGGGAGTTTTCAACTGGACAATGGTGCGAAAGTACAGCCACATCACCATTCTGGTTTTCACTTTCAGAAGTCAGTAAATGACGAGATAATTGACACTTTATTATAAAACAGGCTTTGTGTTTGATGGTTTTGTCCAACTGTAGGTTCATGTACATGTCCTCAGTTTGTTTAAGGAAGGCTAGGCTAAGCTGTGGTATTCTGTAGGGTAGGTGAATCAAATGCATTTTTTTTTTGACAAGGATGTTTTCAACTTATGATGGGTCTGTTGGGGTGAAATCTAATCATAATCAGAGGAGCTTAGCAGTACCACAAAGTGGTCCAGGATAGACCACTTCACCTTTCCAAGCTGCAGGATCCTGGGACCCTGCTGAGGACCAGATGAGGTCACAGAGGTAAAAACACAGTGTCATTATTTACCGATGTGATCATTGTTATCATTATGTTAATGAAAGAATGGGTTTATAAAACCTGATTTTTAACTGTGGCAAATACGCATTGCACAATGTTAACCACTTTCACCATTTTAAGTGTACCAATCAATATTGTTAAATACATTCGTTATTGTGCAACCATCACCACTATCCATCTCCAGAATTTTTTCATCTTGCAAAATTGAAACACTCGCCCATTGAGTATGAGTT